CTAGAGGCTGACAATCCAATTTTGCAAAAGTAAATTGCGGGGGGGAGAAACCCCACACCAAAAACCCAACACAAAACTAAAATATTTTGAATTTTACTCTACTATGAAATTAAACCAATCTTGGGATTGTTTTGTTGTCACCTAGAAGATCAGTTCTAAATGCTTTATAAATCTCTTGGAAATGGGACACAGAACTGTTTGGTTTTTTTTTTTTTTGTACCGGTTCACTGCTACCCACAGCAGCAGTGCTAGCTCAAGTGACTTTTAAATCTTGTTCTCTGACTAACCCTCCTCTCTCTATGGCAGGTGCTTTCCTCACTGGAAGATGTACAAACACAGAGGGATGGATGCTTTAATTCTGTAAAGAGAACTCACCCGTAGCACCCCTTTATCTGCCCCTCCAGCCCCTGCCAAGCTGTGGTCAAGGGGTGGACTATTTTCTGGTCACATGAACCACTTGATGCTGTGCAGGCTGGCCCAGCTCCAACAAGCAGGGTGGACAGGGCCACATCTAGCCCCCTCAGACTGGAGGCATGAGGGTGCTGTGGGACCAAGGGGTTTCATTCCTCAGGTGTAAGGGACCCTCCTGCAGTTCTGGTGATGAGGCTGTCCCACAAAAGCCAAGCAGTCTTTTAGCTCTCCATGCTCCAGACAAAGACGAGGTGCTACACATGTGCATCGACATAACACAAGCGTGCTCTTTTGACGAGTCTGGAGGGGCCCAGGGGAGCTGAGCGGGGAGCCAGGTACCCCTCTGCCCAGGCTGGAGCACACTGAGCAAGTGTCCAGGTTCAAGGCTCCAAAGCACAGGTGCAAAATTAATTTAAATGCAGAATAGGTTTTGAAGCCACTGGATCATGGTCCTATATATCTTTTCTGGACTTGAAAGCTAGTTTAATTGCCAAAGCAGCATCTCCAGAACTGGCTCTTTAGGCCAGATCCAAAGCTCTTCACAGTGACCACAAGAGCCCCCAGACACTAAGGGCCTTAATCTGGGGCCTAATTATCTTTTGTTTCCAGTTTAAGTGTGGATATCAGACCACTGAGAAAAGGCTTCTGAACAAAATCACCAATGTACAATTTACAGGAAAGAGAGGCATGAGATAGTTGACATAATTTTTATTTTGGCACAGAGTTAATGTAAACTTCAGCTGCGATGACAGGCAAACAAACACTAGTACTAAGCTTAAGAGAAGTGTCCTCACTAATCCTGCGTGGTTTGATGTATTAACATGAGTAAGAAATATGATGCAACAGAGATGAGCTCAAACCAAATCCAGAATTTGAACCTCTTCCCACATGAGGTTTCTTAGTTTAGGTTTGAAGATTCATCCCAGCCACAAAAAGCTATCAACATAATTTTTCTCTGCAGAATCAATCTTTCTGATGGAGCCTGAATAGCATTACTAACCAGTATGACAACACAGCTTAACCCAAACTCAGCCTGTCCTACTTAAAGTCAAAACCCCCTTTGCCTTTCCCCTTCAAGGAACAATGTCTTAGGTTCTCTGCTGACAGAGATTGGCTGTTGTCCTACTTAGCTTATGTAAAGAGAATATTTAGAAGACTTAAAGTATCGTGGGAGACAGAAATTCAGAGTAAACAAAGTCGTTCTTTTATAAAATGAAACAAGAGTCCAAAAAGGGGGGCAATAGGTCAGTATATGCATCACACAAAATTCACCAAGTGAAATAAATAACACTTTAATCAAGCAAACCAGTTCAATAAACATTTCCACCAAAGGCAAAAAGGCATAAGCCAAAGCGGATAGGATTCACAGGAACACAGTAGGCCTAAGCTAGCCAAATCCCGGCTTCCTAGCAGAGGCTGCTCACCACACATAGCAGCTGCATCCTCCTGTCCTGAACTTGCCTAAAGGGCTGGCCGCTACCAAGAGGGGCAGTTCCTGTTGGATGTAGTAGACATGCAGCTGCATGATGAGTTGGCCCAGCTCATTGATTAGATCCAAACTAAACCGCCAAAATAAATGAACTTTTTCGGTTTTTTTTTAAAGTACTTTTCCATCTCCCCCTGTGGTTGACTGCACAAAGTGGGGTCAGTGTGCTGTGAGGAAATTGGGGGGGGGGGGCAGACCTGGACTGCCCTTTTCACAGCCAACCCACATCCCTGGGAAGTGCGTTTAGAGTAATGTACATCTGAAGCTGAAACACCTACAAGTATGATGAACAGAGGCTGAGTGAAAAGCAAACCAGCTGATATGAAACAGAACACAAGTGACAGGACAAAAATGTATTATGACTAAGCCTAACGGTTAGGACAAAGAAAAAGAGACCAGAGTCTGAGTTTTTTCTCCAACACTGTAAATTAATAGCCTATAGACACATAACTGATGGAGCAATCCTGCTCACATTCACTCTTTCCATAGCATAAGGAAACTAAATCACCAGGGGATCCACCACCTAAATTAAGTGCAGAAAAGGGCAGTGGATTTGATGGAACTTCTGTGGTGTCCAACATACCCTTTGGGTGCAGTGCTCTTAGTAGGTGTGATTTTTATAGGTATTTGCAAGAATCAAGGGACACTTTAATAATAAATATATTTTTCTTGAAATCCAATATTGCTTGACCACAGCTAGTCTGCAAATATACTTTTAATATTTAATTTACAGCTGGAAAAAAAAAACAGAAATCAAACTTCTCCACTCCTGGATTTGTGCCCTAGCCACTGAATTGTAGGACCACAGCTCACCTAATGAATATTTCTGTATTGAAAGCAAAGTGAAAAAGTTTCATAAGTAAGGAGCCAGAGACCACCAGCCCAGAACAACACACAGGTTTATGGCTCTAACACTCTCTTGAGAAATAAAAGATGCAAATTCAGAACTTGGCTCTTCATATCTGGATAACACCTCTAGACAAAGCCTAGAAAAAATAAGAAAGCGGTAAGGAGGGAACACATCAGTATAGTCCCCCTGCATGTCTTTTAAGTGGTCCTGATCATCTATATGTAATCTGAAGACACCTGGGCTCTTCAGGAGCAACTTGTCAAGGAACACCTCACTTCTAGATCCCTGGACAGCTTGGGCAGCTAACTAATCAACACTGTCAAAACTAAAGGCACAAGCAGCAGCAGATCTCAATGCATTTAGTGAGTATTACTGGAAAAAAACCTGAGTCTGCACAGATCAGAGACTTAGGACTGCAAGGATATAGCTCAGAGGTGAGGGTGCCCGCAGAATCATCCCAAGCACTTCACAGCTGTGGTGCAGCATACATCCCCTGAGATCTAGTTCTCTTCCTGCACAATTAAAGTGGCACTGACTGGAAGTGTACCTTAGAGGAATGACCATATCAACCTTTCTGTTCTTATCTAGTGAAATGCATCGCATGAGACATTGGGCATGTTTTCACATTGAAGAAAAGTTACCAGACCAGCTTAATTTAAGATGATATTTATTTCAGAATGCTGTTTAATAATCAGAGTGATCTGAACCAGCCAGGAATCCAGCTGTATGGTATGCATTAAAAAAAAATACACCGTGGCTTTTGAACAGGACAGTTTGAAACTGCTTACGAGCATGACTGCTGCTTTAACAGTGCTCTTGGATACAGCAGGTTATAACTTCACTAAATATAATGTATTTAATGATGCTAATTTCATGCAGTACAGAAGGGAAACTGTCTAGCTATATTCACAACTTCCTTCTGAGTTTCGGTAAACCACACCTCTAATTACCTGAAGTGTTCATAGGGAAGGAAATAACCTAATTAGTTGTTTCTTGTCTATGAAAACGCTTAGCTGTTAATTCACACAGAACAGCAGGATTTTAAAAGGACATTTTCTTATAGCAATACCAGTTTAAGGCTGTTTTAAGTACAATTTAATCTCAGACCTAATTCCTATGAAGATTTAATTCTGTAGTAGTTCAATATAGTGAATATTTTCCTACCTCCCTCCATTTCTCTAGGTCTGTCACTTGATAGAAACTACAGTCCTCAGACAAATCTTGGAAGCACACTGTAAAATTATCACTCATAGCCATAAGCAAACAAACCGCAGGCACTGAAAGGTCTCCACTCCAAACCCCTGATCCTGTATCCTGGTGACAAGGCACTGTAGATCTGCACATCACCTGTAACACAAACTGCCCATAACAAATACTGCGTTTTGTAACTCATGTTCTGCAAGTTGAATTGTCTGTCCAGTTTTAGCCTACTTAGAAAAGCCACTTAGATCAACATGCTGACATTCATAAAAAAATCTGACTTTAAAAACACACTGTCCCATTCAATATACCTATCAATATGCACTGGGGGAAATACATCAGTTTGTAAAAAAGATCATTAACTTTTGTTTCTCAGGAGCCTTCTTTAGTTTTTCAAGGGCACAGTGAGAAAGTAATAATTTACAAATCACAGTAGTATCACTGTATACTCATGTTTAAATACTCTAAGTATCAATACACAAGGCAGTTACGATATGTTCAATCATGTGGGTGATACATACGGAAGAGTAACTTTAGCAAGACAGCCCAAGCCAGCCTCCCCGGCTGCGGTGTTCCCATTTACTCTCACCGACGTCCCACACTGCTATATCGGGGTGTGCCACGAGTTACAGAGCCTGATGGAGATCGGCTGTGGTTCTGCTGGAAATATAAAATCCAACTTCACATTTCCATTGAGGACTAGGCAGGGAAAGCAAGCTGCCACTTCCACCACTCGCCGCGGTGGTCCGAGGAGGGCCCGGACGCAGGGGACACCTCGGGCGGTTCCCCTGCCTCCGAGCTCCGCCGGCAGCCACCACCGCGGGCCTTCGGGCTGCCCATGGCCGCCAGGGCAGCTCTACGGCTGGCCCGGAGCGGTGCTCGGCCTCCCCGGCGGTCCCTGCCTGCACCTGCCACCTCGCCGCTGCCTGCGCCGCTCTCCACCGCCCCCTTCCCTTCACACAGCCGGCGGCGGGCAGCGCGCCAGCGGGGCCCGGATGGGTGCTCCGGACCTCGCTTCCCGCTCCCACCGGCCCAGCTCCCCGGACCCTGTACCTGCTAGGAGGGCGCCCAGCCCCTCCTGCGCCCGGTCGTGGCTGCTGCTGTCCGCCGCCTGCCCGCCGCTCCTGCGGCGCGGTACTGCCCTGCCCTGCCCCGGAGCTGCGCCCTGCCCCGCGGCTCCTGCCCGGCCACTCGCCGCCTCTCTCTCCTAGGCCTCTCCTCCCGCCCGGTGGCTGCCGGCCTCCGCCTGCCCCTCGCAGCCGGGCACTGCCGGGCTCTTTGCCCGCATAGCTCCTCAGGTGCGGCCCAGCAGCGTTTACTCACCCATCCCTATCCCGAGGGACAACTTCACCGTCGACCTGAGCCTCACCCGCCTCACCAAAGGAACAGATTTATTTCCCACATAGCTGCCAGTAACTTTTCCTCGTCGCTTGCTAGGCTGTTACAGTGGCAAAGCCAGTGCCAACGCTGCCCCTTGCTTTGCTAGGAGCAACACCAGGCCTATATTTTAGAGAGGAAAAATGAATTTCTAATTTTTTACAATGCTCTTAGTAAATGGCATGTTCATCTGGAATATGGATCCCTGTCAAGTCGGGTTTTACATAGACACACGAGAGAAAGCCCCTGCCACAGAGTGCATCGTCCATAGGGGTAATTTATGGATCACATGTGGTGGATTGGTTCAGAAACTTCATCAGGAAATTCTGGTTCAGAAATTTCCTTGCAGGAAGCAAAGTTTTGTGAGACTCAAGGTGGTCTCCTGTCCCTTTCCCATCCCCTCCTTGATTCCAGTTTCTGATAAAGAACTAGAAGTGTTAAAATACCACAGGAGGCAAATATGAGTGAGATATTGGTGGATTCCCCATCCACCAAGACTGCAGTTTTTCGATTACAGTATTTTTCATTTTAAATTTAATAGTACCATGGACCTGCTGCTTACTAAAAATTTCATGGTTGTCATCATGCAGTATAACACAGCTGCTTTGAGCTCCAGAGCCACTGTAAGGGGAGATGCTTTGCCAAAAGCACCAGCTCGTAATATTTGAGCTAACAAAGCATCTCTCTTCATCTCTGCAGAGCCAGTCACACAGTGCTGGGGTATCACATAGCAAAGTGGCTCTGATTCCTGCTAATGGAGCTCATGAGATTACGTGTGGTCACTATTCTAAAGAAATACCAGTAACCTGATATGCTTCCAAAATTGTCTGAGTCCTCCTGATGTGCACATTAAGCAAGCATTTCAGGGTGTCTTACTGAATTAATTTACCTGATTGAACATCTTTATCTTCACTGTTCACAGAAGTGCGTTGTTTAATGGCCAGTAAGGTCCCTGTGTGTAGCTTGCTGCTAACAAGTTACATCGGCATTTTCACACTCAAGGGTTTTTCAGGCTCTTGAGTGACTTCCAGTCCTGCCTGAGTGGCTCTCCAGGTGCTGGAGCCAGCAGTGCAGTAGCAGCCAGCCTTTGGGACTGCAAGTTGCCTCTCCGATGAAGGAAAGGACATTAAAAATGGTATTTTTGACAAGGCAGTTAAAGGAAAAAGCAGTTTGTAAGTCCAGCTTTCGTTCTTTCTCAAGGCAAGACTGCCCTCTGTAATTTGAGGGGGACTTTTCTCACATCACTAAGGCTGCTTTAATGGTTTGGGACACACCTTCCATTCTGCTTTCAGCCACTTGAAAACTGGGGAGTTCGTTTCAGTAAGTGCATGGTAAGGGGTATGACTAATTTGATCTAGTATGGAGGGGGAGAACATTAAATATCAAACTTAAACATGGGAAATTTAGGGAGAAATTCTTCACTGTGATGGTGGTGAGGCCCTGGAACAGGTTACCCAAGGAAGTTGTGAATGCTCCATCCCTGGAAGTGTTCAAGGCCAGGTTGGACAGGGCCTGGTTGAGCAACTTGGTCTAGTGGGAGGAGTCCCTGCCTATGGCAGGGGAGTTGGAACTAAATGATCTTACAGTTATGATTCTGTTACTGTGCTGCGATTTTTTTTTAGCTGGGGTGAGAAACAAACCTCCACCATCCCATAGATTTTTGTCCCAAGCAAATCTAGTCTGAATGAAATTAATTTACCACTGTTCTTTGCTTCCTAGACCTTTCTGTCAGCTGCAAATACTATCTTCCTTCCCTGCCAGCCTCCTGGCAGCATAGAGTGCCCCAGGTTGTGCTCTAGTGTTTGTAATCTTTCTGCAGCTAAACCTTGCTTGAGAAACCTGGTGATGTTCCCATGCCTCACTGATGCCTGCTCTTGGCCCCTCTTCTCTGTGTCCACACCAGACAGTCACTACAGCCACTCATCCTCATTAGTTCTAATGCTCTGCAGCTGCTCTTGTCTCCTCATGCTGCCTCCACCCAGGGCACCCTCAGTACTAAGACCAGGCTAATAAACTGGCCTGGTTTTGGCTGGCTGTGCCAAACCACAACACTGAGCTCCAGAAATGCAGGGCTGAGACACTTGAGTAGGCCCATGCAGAGCCAACAGAGGAGAATTTATTAGTCTGGGCTATGCTTCACATCTCATATCCCCCAGCAAGGTCTTGTCTCATCTGTTTTGAACCTTTGCACAGCACACTTTTTCACTTGCTGCTGAGGTTGTTTATGCTATTGGATTACAACTTCCCAGTGTTTTTCTCAGTGAAAGAAGAGTAGCCAGAAGCGGAGGCTGTAGAAAGTAGCTACAAGCAGAAGTGCATGCTGTTGTCCTTGGGCCTCAAACCTTTAGGAAATAAAATAATGATACAATAAAACCCCCATGTCTAAATATAGATACAAATGTTCTTGAGTAATCCTTTTTATCTACAAAAGCTTTCAAGCAGACTAAGACCCTTTTCTTCACTTTGTGCAAATACTCCAGTGAACAAAGTTTTAAGCAGGAATGCTGACAGAGGCTGCAGCTTTGCATCAATCAAGCCTGAATTCTTCCTCACAATCATTTGCCTCAGAACCCTGATCCCAGCACTTGTGCACGTGTATTGAGTCATGCCAACCCCCATGTTAAAAGATCTAGCAGCTCAGAGAGTTTGAATCATGTTTGCAGAGAGCATGCTGTAATCTTTCAAGCAAAAAAGTGGAAAACTTCATTGCTTAGTAGTTCTTGCCTGCTTTGCAAAAGATCACATGCAATTAAGCCAATACTTGCAAATAGCTTCCCCAGCTCTGGAATCCTTCAGAGCAAGCAAGGATCTAACATTGCTGCTTGTGAAATACTTTAGTTTTCAGAAACTAACATGAAGTGATGTACTTACCGTCAGAGCTAGAATCCAGTGTATATTGCAATAGCCAAGTGATGAGCTCAGCTGTTAGGACCTAAAAGCAGGGCGTTATCAGTACAAGTCCAGCACACAGCATACGACATCTTACAGCCAAATTCCGTGTGTAGCCACTAAATTAAGTTTTCTGATACAGAGTTTTTTTACAAGAGAAAAAAGGAGTTTGCAACTTAGATGTAAGTGAAATAGCAGAATCCTTTTCAGCTGAAGTCTCTAAGTGGTTAATACACCTTCGTTATAAACAACTTCTGCAGCCAGAGGCTTTTACAACCATTAAAGTTTTTGCAGCAGTGATCTTTATCCCCTGAGGTTTTACTGGGAGAAACATGAAACTATTTCCTCATCCTTCCTGTGCTACTCTCAGCTGGAGCCTGGCTTTTTCCATTCTCATCATAACCTTTGAGTTAAGCAGACACCTTCCCTCTTCTGCCACAGATGCTGGGTGGGGTCCACACACTTCATTATAGAAAGCTGCTGTAATTCAATCTATGACTGTTATTTTTTGTTTTCTCCTTTTTTTGAATGCATGTTTAACGTCACGCTCTCCTGACATAACCACTGTAATTCTGTCCCGCATCTGCGGCTGCAGCCAGTTACCTCCTCCCAAAACACTGGGAACAACTTTGTTGCACAACATCTTTTGAAAACGTTGCTGCAATGCCTAGAGGAGCAATTGCATGGAGACACTTTGTTGTCCAAATTAGACCCTCTCTTTACCTCGTCTAGATTAGATGTACTGTGAATTGGAAAGATATCTGCTGGCTTGTTGCCTCGCTTTATCCTATAAAGCAGATTTTCTTTGCACAGACACACATCATTAATACATTCTGATAATAAATCCAAGGCAGGCTTATCCTTCATGCACCAGAACACTTTGGTTCTGTCTCTCTACAGCCAGTCCCATATCTGTGTGGGCTGCAGCAATTGCTTCTGAACTACACAGCAGTCTTCAACCTTCAACCTTGCCAGTTTGCCAGCCCCGGACTAGCCTAAGGCGAGTTGAGGTTCCTGGGTAGACAACCACTGAGGCACAGGGGTGCTGTGCTGGACCTGGAGTGGACTTTTCAGGCCATCAGCTTCACCCTGGGCTGACAAACAGAAGTGACTGTGGGTGCATATTTATGCAGGAGCAAATGGTTCAGCTTCATCCTCAGGCTGCATTTCTTGCTGCTGCTACTGTCTAGGAATCCAAGATGATGCATCCAGTAAACTCAAGAGACATTATAAACTTTCATGTGCAGTTTGCAAAAGATGAAATAGAGCCAAGACATGCTCCTTGAAGTGTTTTCCAGTTGCATCCTTTTCTTGACTGTTCATTAAGAGCCAGCTGCTCTTAATGACCAGCAAAGGTTTGTGAGGACATTGTCACACCTTCTGAAAAAAGGTAATAAGATTAAATGTTACCAGCATCCTGGCACCTTCAGATATTTTCTAGAGCTTTCATTCTTGCAAAATTGTGGGTAGATGTACTATCCCTGCTTTAAAATGAGCACACTTCGGGCAAAAATCACTTGGCATATCCAATCTGTCATTTGGATCCAAACAATTCCAGTATTTTCCTGTTTGATTTGGTGCTTTAAGCCAATATATTTAGTGTTTGTCTGGATATGGTTTGCTATTTGAAAACTGAATTTTCTGGGTAAAGGATAAAAAAGAAAGGAAGAACTTTGCCTGTTGTTGATTTCAGAAGAGATTTGAAATCTGAGATATCTTTGAGTTTCTGTCTACCTCTCAGTGCAGTAGTTGAACTCAGTTCAAGAACTGGATTTCAAATTGTTCCCAAACCTTCATTGCTGGGGGGGGGGGGGAAAAACCCCAAAACCCACACCCAACAATCCTCCCCCCCCCCCAAAAAAAAGAACAAACACACAACCCCACCCCCAAAACCACCAAAACCCCCAAACAAAACAGGAAAGACCTGTTTCAGGA